GCAGTATGCAGTATGTACACTGTGCACAGTATGCAAATTTTCTGCATGACAAACCCGCCTCATTCGCCAATTTGTGCAGCTTACAAAAGCGGTACTGTATTCAACAATGCAATTCACCCAAACAATTCATTCACCCTTCTTTTTTCCAGTGTGACAAATAGACTGGAAGTGGGATTTTATATCTATTTTTTTTTATAACTGCCAAATGTTAAGACATTTTAACTTAAAATTGGATTTTAATTTTGAAACATAACTGCATGTATAATGCTATTTGCTAAATCACATACTATTATATTTTTTATCAATAGACTGAATTTGTTTTTATTTTTATATTTTATGTCAGTTAACATGTACTTAATTTCAAGTAACCAAAATAATTTTTAATGGTTTTAGTTTTAGTTATAACCCTGCTAAATCATGTGACAACAGTACAGCTTACTACTATTTGAAATATTTTAAATAGTATACATACTGTGCAGGAATTGATGCATTAGTAGGCTACTCTATTTCCAGCATGACAATTGCTTTTCTTTATGTGAAGAAATTTTTATGTGGAAAAAAAAATATTTAGTGGCCCTTCAAAAATTAATATGGAGTCTGTGTTGTACTCTTCATCTCCAGTAGGAGACGGATGCGAGTCAGGACCCCTGAACCCCCAGCATAAGGAATCATTTAGGGTGGGGACGGAATTTCTCCTTCTTAAGAGCCGGTGACTCACTGAGCCGGGAGAATTTGAGTGGGCCACAAGGTCAAAATTTACTGGTATTACTATACTTGTGGGGACATTTGGTCCCCATAACGTGATGAATACCAGGTGCACACACACACACACACACAGGAGAATAACAAAGTGAAGTAATTTTGAATGACTGAGAGAGAATGTTTCACCAAACAAGCTGTTCAGCCTTAGGGGAGTCAGTGCATGGATTTAACATGCTGTGGCAGCCCTCTGTGAGTGTGTGTGTGTGTGTGTGTGTGTGTGTTTGGGGAGTGTGTGTGTGTGTGTGTGTGTTTGGGGAGTGTGTGTGTGTGTGTGTGTGTTTGGGGAGTGTGTGTGTGTGTGTGTGGTGTGTGGGTGTGTGTGTGTGTGTGTGTGTGTTTGGGGAGTGTGGGTGTGGTGTGTGTCAGACACAGGATTGTGATCAGCTGGCTGGTTGTAAAGTTAGTTACAAGTAACAAATGTTTTCATTCCAGTGATTTCAAGGACAAGGGAGTGTTGACAGATTTTTGGTTTGATTTAATTTGATAAAATAAAATAAAATATCTATATACTCCAACATGTCTCACACACAGTCACAATCACAGCAATAGAAACTGTAGGAACTTGACGTGCTTTTACTGCTGACTGTAAAGTTATGGTAGATAACCCTTTATAGCCAAACACCCATTTAATTAAACAGCATCCATACCCAGACTGCAGATTACACCGTTTCTCCATGCTGATGAGTCTCAGTTGCAAACCGTGAATGACTTGCGTCTGTTGAGTCACCATGCATAATTTATGCCACGTAACATTAGCTAAACATAAACATTAAACTCTGATGAGTCAAAGTAGTTATTTTGCTTCGACAAGCCCGAGACCATTGCTTTCCCATGAACAGTAAAGCGCCTTTGTTTCAGATTATGCAAAATTTGAGTCCCTTATTGTGCAAAGAAAGAGGAAAAGGCAGTGCCGCTGATTATTGATAGCCGTTTCAGATAGCTAAATCAGTTATAAACCCATATTGCGTGCTTACAGACTGATAATGTTGTATTAATGTGAGAATTCACACAGAACTGAATTCACACTGCTGGGTTAGACGTGGTTCTCACCGATCAGTAAAGCCCCGTCAACACAATCTCTCAGATTAGCTTTAGCCCTGGCGTTAATCTGCGAAACGCGAGTCCGTGACTCGGTCTAAGCACTTATTGCACAACAAAACACAACAAAACCACAGAATGTTCACGTCTAGTGTGGGATTTCACCAGCATTCTAGAACTCTGGATGACCCTTTGATTGGCTGGCCGGGAAGTGTTGGAATATTCTGGAAGTCTGACACTGACATTCCACGACTGCAATACAAGAACAGGTGGCAAGATTATTCTAGAATAGAACCTCCGTTTAAAACTCTCACTGCTGGATCATTAGAGTCTTCTACAATACTGGACAAAAATCTGGAATAATTCAGATTTTTCAATGTTTTTGAAAGAAGCCTCTTTGCTCACCAAGGCTGAAAAATACTGTAAAATTTGTGAAATATTATTAGAATTTAAAATAACGCTTTTCTATGTGAATATCTGTTAAACTGTAATTTATTTCTGTGATCAAAGCTGTATTTTCAGCATCATTACTCCAGTCTTCAGTGTCACATGATCTTCAGAAATCATTCTAATATGCTGATTTGCTGCTCAAGAAACATTTCTGATTATTATCAATGTTGAAAACAGTTGTGCTGCCCAATATTTTTGTGGAGAAACCATGATTCATTTTATTTTTCAATATTCTTTGATGAACAGAAAGCTCAAAAGAACAGCGTTTATTTGAAATATAAATCTTTTGTAGCATTATAAATGTCTTTTCTGGCACTTTTGATCAATTTAATGCATCCCTGCTGAAAAAAAAGTGTTAATTTCTTTTTTAATCTTACTGACCCCAAGCTTTTGAATGGTGTTTTCAACATTGATAATAATCAGAAATGTTTCTTGAGCAGCAAATCAGCATATTAGAATGATTTCTGAAAGATCATGTGACACTGAAGACTGGAGTAATGATGCTGAAAATTCACAGCAATAAATACAATTTTAAACAGCATATTCACATAGAAAACAGTTATTTTAAATTGTAATAATATTTCACAATTTTTACGGTATTTTGGATCAAATAAATGCAGCTTTGGTGAGCAGAAAAGACTTCAAAACTTCAAAAACATTAAAACACTTAATTATTCCAAACTTTTGACTAGAAGTAGGCCTATCTGTTTTATTAAACTTCAGCATTGAATCACGTGTCTTGTTGAGCAGATGTTACTTTTTCAAAGCAATCAGATTCAGTTTTCACCCGAGGGTCGATAAAAGTAAGAAAGAAACCATCTAGACAGAAAAGTGACAAAAAATATATTTTCTTCATAAAAACTAAAAATCTCCTGTTCATATTGATTACTGTAAAATGTCCTATATCTTAACTCGCTTTTTTGTCTCTCTGAAGTATGTGAAGTACAGTATTTAATCTCACCTCCTAGCTAAACATCTCCGACTTCCTCACATGCCTCAAAGTCCTCTGGCTTTGTGGTTATGCAATATTATTGTCAGTCACATGCTGAAATCCACTAAACTGAATTAAACCAATCTAAAACGACCCATTAAGCTCCACAGAATCGAGAAACATGTGTCTAATTCCCGGTCGTGCCTGGCTTTCCGAGGAACGCGGCTAATCTGGAGCATGTGGGGGAAGAGGAGGAGTCCTGCTGGACTAATGGAGGTCCTGATGGAGGTCTTGTGGTCTCCTTCATGGGTCTCATGACCGAACCAGGCTCTCAGCCAGAGTCAAACACATGACACGGCCGCAAGCTCCATACGGCTCCGACTGAACACTGGAATACCATTAAAAGCCTTTTCACAGGAGATGGAAGTGAACGTTGGTGAATTTCCCTTGGGTATCTATCTGAGAAGAAAGGGTTGGAATCAATTATATTTTAGTTGAGGCCAAGAACTTCAAACATCAGGAAAATCTGATTCATAGCAATATGCATATTTCATATGCATTGAATATATATATATATTCAATACATATGAAATATGCATATATTATATAGTATTATATATTATATATCACAGACGCTTGTATATTAAGTATTATATAGTGAATTCTATAGATAGACAGACAGACAGACAGACAGACAGACGATAGATAGATAGATAGATAGATAGATGGTAGATAGATAGATGATGGTAGATAGATACATAGATAGATAGATAGATAGATAGATAGATAGATGGTAGATAGATAGATGATGGTAGATAGATACATACATAGATAGATAGATAGATAGATAGATAGATAGATAGATAGATAGATAGATAGATAGATAGCTCAGTGGAGTAAAGTGGCCTGAATAGTGAGCTTCAGTCACAGGGGAGTGATGCACAGCTGATGGCAACTGCTATGAATGAAAGATACTGAGCACTGATCACAATGTAAATGCAAATAAAGACATTCATCAGGCATTTATAAGATGCACACTAGAATCTGTGCATCCATTATTGGGCAAAATGCAACATTACAAAAATAGTACGTGAGTATAAGCAGTCTTTTAATCAATATCAGCTGCCACAACTATAAAAATATGTAAATGGCTCAAAAATCTTAAAATTAGTTGAATGGTTTAATATCATAATGTTAACATTACATCACGATTATATAATATCAACAATCTTTCTATATGTATGCTATGTGATCTGAGTGATTTGTAAATGTAAATATTTTGATGTCAACCGTTACCATGGTTACCCAGAACTAGCTATCAATATTTGTTAAAAACAAACGGTACACACAATATAACCTCATAGTGATAAATAATAAATTTTTACATGAATTCTTTTTAGAATGTCATCGATATGAATGGATGTTATGAATGTTATCAATATTAATTTTGAGGGCGTTTCTTTATCTAAAACTCTCAAACTGTCAATCTTTTCTAAAGAAAGGCGGGGTAAAAGTCTCCATATAAGGAAAACGAGGCTTCGGTGACGTCATACACTAGCCAGCGCCCCTTGAGCTGGAAGGCAGTGTTGCCAAGTCCGTAGTTTTCCCGCGGAATTGGGATACTTTAACACTGTTGGTTTTCATGTCAGCGGCTTGAAGCGACCCCAATAACGTGATATTTAGCCCCTGGAGTGCGAATTTTACCAGGGGAACACCGCCAAAAAAAAAGTGAACTCGATTATTACCGGAGGACCCCCCACCGAAACGCGATGAGGCTCATTTTGAATAGCAATTGGGAGGGTTTTGTTGTGAAAACCTGGCAACCCTGCCCTTAAACTGGAAGGAGAGCGGCGGCGAGCGCGAGCCTCCACAGGCGAGGATGACGTTTCCGTAAGCCGCCTTCAAAAATTGATGGAAAAAATAGAAATGCGGAATTAATTTTATTGCCTTTTTTTCCTCGAGTCATTCGCGTATTTTTATTGTTGTGAGTGAGAAGAATCTCTTTTGGCAGCTGATGTTGGTTTAGAGGGCGTATTTTTGGAGAGAGAGCGCGAGGGGGCGGGTGTCTCTCGCGCAGCCTCACAGACTCTCGTGAAATTACCACACGGACGGTTTACTTCCACATTGATCGTTTATTTTCGGGATTTTTTAGATAAACAACACCGTAATCGATGCGCGGCCTTCTAACGGACATTCGCCGCTGATACTACGCCCGCGTTTTTTCTGTTTTTGTGGTTTTTCCCCTCAGTGGAGCGTTCGTGCGTTCGTTGGGATTCGTTATGAATTCCAGTCCGCTTCCTAACGGCAGACTCCTGCCGGACAGCCAGAGCTGGAACTCCTCCGGTTCCGAGGAGGATCTGGACGTCGAACCGGGACTCGGGCCGCACGGAGGGGTGGCGGAATTCGGCGGGGTGCTCAGTAAGGTGGGTTAAGATCCCGAATTATCCCTTCCGAACCGGGAAAGCGTACGTTTATGTGCGTGTTTCCACCTGATCCGATGTAAACAAACGGCAGGCGGTTGGATGAATGTCACGAAGCCTGTCTAGAAAATGTCCTAATTTTGCCGATTTTAGTTAAGATATTTTGCATGGTGATATTATTTGCATGACAATTAAACCATTTTTACCTATTACCGTAATATGCCCAATGTCTTACTTCTGATCTGTTCCTCATTACTGCCCGGACACATGGGTTTTCATAATTAAATTAAGCACAAATCAAACGCAGTGCAACAAATTCTACAAATACTTAACAGTTTAAATAATATATCATTATTTGTTCGCATTACGGTATATTTTCCATGATGATTTCCAGTAACGTTACATGGTGACCATATGCATATGCTATATAATACAGAAGGGATGCAGCAGGTTCTGGGCTGAAGCTGGAGTTAGTCAGGGTTACTAGAGTTCATCTGTCTTTTCTTCCTGATGGGATTAGTGGAGAAAACCTCTCCTCATGACTCAGACAGCTGATCATCTGTTTTTGTGATGAGAGGAGCATGTTCCATTAGAGATTAGTGTATCATTCCACATGCAATGACCTAAACCCTCGCCCATTTGAAGGATATCTATCTATTCGATAATTTTATCAAATGTTATATTGAACTGTGCATCAATTATTTATTGTTATTAGTCATCTGTGTGCACACTCTTAGATACAGCTTTTGTTTTCTTATAGCAATTGTGTTTCTCTACAGTGGACTAACTACATTCACGGATGGCAGGACCGCTGGGTCGTTCTGAAGAACAACACCTTGAGTTACTACAAATCCCAGGACGAGCGCGAGTATGGCTGTCGCGGCTCCCTGTGCCTCAGCAAGGCTGTCATCACAGTGAGTATCCCGGGGAAAGATCCTTCCAGACAGCCGTGGGAATTTCAGAGCCGAGCCAAAATTAGAATGATGGTGTGCATTCGAAACGAAAGCTTGAAATGGTTCAAATTGGAGATTGTCATGCTGGGAGCTCCAGAACTGTAGTTGAATGGAAGTACATGGGATACATGATGTTTTACTGACGATATAGACATTTTTTTTTTTACTATCAGTCTGATTAGACGCAATACCTGAGTAGACGCAAGGCATGTGATTTCACATTAATAACCCTGTTTTTGTATATGAATGCATTATTGAAACTTCACTGATTGTTTTGGGCCATCATGTTGTTATTGGATGTTAAAAGTTGTCTCAAAGTTATAAATAAACATTCTTCCGATAACCTTAATAGAATGTTCGTTCTAGTGTTGTGCTAACGTTCTCAAAACCTTAGCACAAAAAACATTATTTATACATTGTTCATTGTTTCTCTGAAACATTTCAGTTCTCTTTAACGTTTCAGAGAACAAGCAAAACACATTTGCGTAATGTTTGCAAAATGTTAAAACGAAATGTTCCCTAAATGTTTTCTCTAATATTCAAATAACCAAGAATTTTTAATTTTTTTAACTGGATGTTTTGAACATTCAGAAATAACATTTTTATAACTTAATGGGAACGTTAGGATTACGTTCTTAGAACTTATTTTTGGTAGCTAACTCTGTATTGCTGCATATCTAGAAATTAGTTATGAACAAACATTCTTCCAGTAATGTTAATACAATGTTCATACTACTGTAAGGTTATCTGGTGTTTAACAACGTTCTCAAAACAAAAAAACATTATTTATACATTGTTCATTGTTTTTCTGAAACATTTTAGTTGGATGTTTGTCTAATTTTTTTTTTACTTAAACTTATGGTGCTGAGAACATTCAAAAGTAGCATTCCCATAATGTTTGCAAAGTGATAAAATGGAACATTCCATTAATTTTTTTTTTTTTTTTAAGCTGGACATTTTGAATGTTCAGAGAAATTTCAGAAATAACGTTTAACCAAAATGTTAGCAGAATATTCTTAGAACATATTTTTGTTAACTGGGTCTGCTGCATCTCTAGAAATTAGATTTGGTATGATGGTTGTGCTTCATCTAAAATGATTATTGCTGAGGCAGTAGATGTGCTGAGAGCTCTTTTAGGCCAGAGGAGAGGAGAAAAGAGATTGACGGAGGACAGACACAATCCTTTGCCACAGGCAGCCGACTAGGCACAGACAGACTGTGGCCTATTTTCCCCCCATTCATGCTGAAATCACACTTACACACACACACACACACACACACCTGCGGAAGCTGCAAGCCACTGTGAATTTGCCTTTCAGTGTGTCATGTTTAACTCAAACTGAGTAAATGCAAATATTGCTGAGTGTATACAGTATCTATAGGTGCTCAGGCGACACGTATGCATTATGCTCAGATTTTGGGTTGATTGCTTATGATCCGATTTGGCTCAGACAACCAGAATGAAATGAGAATTCCCTGCATTGCGTTGAAGATTAACTCATGACCACATACAGATTTCGACATGTGCTGCAGCAGTGCACAAGCTCTGCCCATATTATCTTGCGTCACCACTGAAAATGAGGAAACAGGGCGAAGGTTGTGTTGTTATGGAGACCACTGGAGAGGTACGAGTCCTTATGGTGACCCTCTTACCATTAGTCCTTTAATGATTAAACCAAAACTCTTACTGAAGATACAGGGAAAGGAGCATACTAGTGTTTTCTGATATGTTTTAGCCATAAGAAAGCATAATAAACACCATACATACAGGAAGTGAAGTCTGAAATAGTCAGGGATGGCGATCAAAGGGTTTTATAGGTTTGTGATCATGTGCTCAGCCTGCGTTCAGGTAGTTCATGTTTAAAGCTGCAGGTCACTGCTGTGTGTTCGACATTCTAATTCGATGCTTTGCATTTTGGCTGTGAGCGAGAGAAAAATGGCTCCTTTGTTTCAAGACTTGAGAGTGATTCTTTTTCAGCTATGTATTTGTTGAACTTCAACCCTTATGGTTAGTTGTACATATTAACTTTGGTATTAAACGTGAGTGTGGTAGAAATGTGACATTTAGGGTCCAAAATAAACTTTAACATCAGCCAATGGTGAGTGAATTGACAGAATTTATAAGCTATAAATATTCTCTTCTGGCCTTTTTTGAAGCCTGTTTGGCATTCAGTTTATTAAAGGGGGGTCATATGATGCGATTTCAATTTTTCCTTTCTCTTTGGAGTGTTACAAGCTCTTGGTGCATAAAGAAGATCTGTAAAGTTGCAAAGACTAAAGTCTCAAATCCAAAGAGATATTCTTTATAAAAGTTAAGAGTCAGCCACGCCTACCTAAAACGGCTCGTTCTAACACGCCCCCACATATCTACGTCGCTATGTGGGAAGATTTGCATAACGCCGCCCAAATGTTCACGCAAAGAAAGAAGGCGTAACTTTTATTTTTGCTGTGGTTTTGTTGTTTCCGCTGCCGCCATGTCATAAAGACGCTGTGTGCTTCGTTGTGAAAGCGAAACTACTTTGTTTGGTCTTCCAAAAGAGGACGATATCTGCTTCGTCATGCCTATATGGTAGGGGCGTAACATTTCCGTCACATGCTTGAGGTATTCGGCCAATCACAACGCACTGGATAGCTGGCCAATCAGAGCACACCTCGCTTTTTCAGACCGATGAGCTTTGTAAAAATCGACGCGTTTCAGAAAGGCGGGGCATAGAGGAGAAACAATAATGTACAGTATGTGGAAAATAATGTGTTTTTTTAACGTTAAACCGCATAAACACATTTCATTACACCAAATACACCAAATACTGTTCTTTTTAGCAGCATCATATGACCCCTTAAATTTTTTTTTTGATTATTTAGTTGTTTTTTCCTTGCTTATTAGTCTTAAATACTGCAGGTTACTGTGTGCATATACAGGCCTAAGCCTTTCCGTATCTCTGTATCTGTTCAAAGTTTTTCAGTATTGTAACTGTTTTTGTTGTTTTAAATTTTTTTTAATGCAAGGAATATTCCTAGTTTTCCAAGAGTTATCCAGTTTGTCACTTTTTGCATTGAATCACATTTGTTATTTACATCAGTCAGGGTTAGACCCACTCTAACTGTTGGATTTCAACCATGTATTATGTTCCAGTTCCTCATAAATCCTCATAAATACCACTGTGTTTAAATTTAGTTTTTTTAACTCACATTTGGCACGTGGTTACTGTTAGTTTTGCACCCTGGTCACTGGATTAGCATGAGCCTTTCTGTGTAATCTCAAAAAGAAGGCAAAAACAGACAAATTTTTTTTGTTTATAGTGCATCTAAACCTGTTTCTCTCTCTTAGTAAATCTTTCTCTCAGGATGCCGTTCTGGAATACAAAGCAGCTTTATTCAGATTGATTCAGCGCACACACAGCAGCAATCTGTCCTCGTAAATCCTCACAAAAAAAACAGGTTATTGTGTCACACTGCTCTTCCTGCCTGCGATTTACGCTGTCCTCACATGACTCACACATACTTAAACCACACACAAATGGGACCACCCTAAAATCAGACTGGCTTAACCCTTGCAGACACAAAAGGATTACACCGTCCACATGAAGACCTGATTAAAACCCAGAATGCCTCATTGTGTGTCCTTTTAAAACTGGGTCTCGCTGGTTCAGCGTTCAGATCAGCACACAAGCTGGAAATGGTGTTAATTGTGCTTTTTGTGAGACACTCGCGCTGTTGAATTGGACTTGATTAGATTTGTGAATGTCAGACCTCAGGAGATGGAGACGGATTGTGAAAGATCAATCAGTGTGATGACAAAAACAATTTCACAGACACTTAGTCTGATTTAATCGGTCTGACAGCAACACTTAACGAATCCAGTGTGCTGTTTTACCATTGCCTGATTTCACATGAAAACTCAAGCAATACTTTTCCTATTGCTCATACTTAAGGTTAGTGATTCGAACAAACTTGTAACCAGAAATTAACTTAACTCCATGAAGGGACAACATTTTTACAACCATTTTAACATTTCAGTTTTTATAATTACATTATTAAATGTATCTGTGTTGTCTTTAGGTCAAATACTTAAATTAACCGATTACTTCAGTCAATCAGAATACGATTGGTTATAATGCTCAACACTACAAAAACACATAAAAATCTGATGCAACCTGAGCAGATCTAAATGCAGATCATTTTCACATTAATCACGACAGCCAAAATAGATTTAGCTGTGTAGGATTTGTAGGATTTGCATCCTAATCTTGAATTTAAGGGCATTTTTGCCCTAAGCATATATAGGGTTGGGTACTGAAACCCGGTACCAATATGGCACCAGTACCTATGTAACCGGTATGTACTAGAACCGAATCAGAACGCAGATTTCGGTGCCTCATTTCGGTGCCAAGCCTGAGCGATCGATTGAAATATTTGTCCTCTGGTCCTCCGAAACGGACATAAGAAGCATCATCACCGGCACCGCACATGAAAAATAATTTCCCTAACCTTTTTACTCCACAACACCAGTCAAATGCTTCCTTTTGTGATCTGATGTGGCTTCTTGTCACAGAATGAGGCAGAAAATATGTTCCATAGGCTACTTTAAAAAGAATACATTGATTAGCAATGGATTATAAATATACTTTATTGTTATGAAAATACCAGAGATGGCTTGAATAACACAGATATACTATATTGTCGCAGTCGAGTGTTTATTGTCTTTGTTTTATCGTTCAAAACGTTTATATGTTCTGTTTACTCAGTTACAGCTATAATAGCGATGCCTTTGTTCATATAAGGGATTTCCTGGAGGGTCACCAGTTCCGCTGCTTCTGTGACTGGATATGTGGATTTTCTGTGCGAGGGCGCCTTCTGGCGTCCAGTATGAATGAAACCGACATCATGTGTTTGACATCTATTTTTTTGGGAATTTTTATTTATTTTTTAATAAGTATCGGTTCAGGCACCGTTTAGGCACC